ACTATGTCTCCACCCTCTACTATCCCACTCTACTGAGGCTCAACAAATGTGTGCTTTCCTCCAGACCCTTCCCCCACTCCCTCCAGGACTTTACTGCTAAAACCTTCCAGGAACAGCAACCCCAAGGGCCCTTGCCCTCCCCAGCATGCTTTATGGTGGGTCAGACATTTCTGGAATCCGGGGGCCAGTTTACTGTTTCCCCTGACTGAATCATGCACACCAATCCATCTGCCATCCCTGTCAACCTGTGCCTTCCTGCTTCAAAGGGCTTCATCCTTCCGATCTGTCCTGGAGGGGGCAGCTCCTCCCCCCTTGACCATCTGGGAGGCCCTTCTGGAGCTTGGCACATCTCTCTCCAAGCACAACCCACCCGGGGCCTTTGCTTCCACACACATGCATTAATTTCACAACCGTACACTTTCCTGAGGGCACTCACATGAATCCAAATCTCCCTATGGCCCTTCCTCCCTCCCTTCATTCATTCATCCATAAATGCCTTAGTGGCTTAGGCAGGCAAACCAGTTTTCTCCAGAGACCACGATTCGTGGAATGCTCTCCTCCCTCCCCCCCCCCCCCCCCCCCCCCCCCCGTGCCACATCACTACCACACAACCAGCACGTTTTAATGTGGATTACTGCAGAAGCCTCTCTACTGACTTCCTTCTGTCTCCACTATGGGCTGTACACTACAGCCTGAATGGTTCTTAGGAGATGCCAAACTAATCAGGTTACTCTCCAGTTTAATACTCTTACCGGCTCTCTCATTACCCTCAGGATAAAATCCAAGCCCCTCCACAGGTTTTATGTGCTGTCTGTTAAGAGCCCCTAGTTTTCTGCCTTGCCTCTGACGACTCCCCAGCTCCCTATCTCCCTACTAGGGTTCTAGCTATTACTCACTCCACCTTCAGACAACAGTGTAAAGGGAACTCTCACTACTGACCCACTCTTCCCCACTCCCTCAGGCAGGCAGGGCGCCCTCCTCCTGCTCCTCTACTCACCTGCTTATCATCACTGATTGTGACTGTCTATTTCTGTCTCCCTACTAGACAGCTGGTACTCACAAGTACCCAGAGGGTAAGAGCATCTTTCTCCTGTCTGATATATTCTCAGCATTAGGACAAGGGCTGGCTCAGAGTGTGACTCCAGCACAGGTAGTAAATTCATTCATTCATCATCCATTCACATAATTCACTCAATTCGCATAGTTCATTCAATCAACAACTATTTTGTGGAGATCTTAAAATTGGAAGAAAAAAACCAACTTTTGTTCTATCCTGTCCCATTTCTACTTAGCAGAAACCCACCACCTGCAGCTCTCATAGAAGAAGCAACACAGCCAAGAAAGAGCAAGCAGTAACTGGACCCCTTCTATCCTTGGGGCTGGCCTAACACCTCTACATGCAACAATCCCTAGACTCCAGGACTGGATGGATTGCAGAGTCTCCTCTCACTCTTCCCATGGTCTCGCTAAGATCACTGGCCATGCCTAGCCCACACTTAGTTCTCCCATACTGCGACCCTCCCACCTCAGAGGATGAGAAATGCTGCCACTAGTGATGACTCTCGGAGCCACTGAACAACCAGGCCTCCACCCGGCCAGTGACTCCTGCCCAGGGTTGCAAGCTAACCCTGCTGTAATCTGCAGTGATGCGAACCTCGGAGAGATATGTATGACTTGCACAGCACTTTTGAAAAAACAGAATTAGTTGCTGACGTTTATAAATTGGAAGCGTTTACATTGGAATCTACCTTTCAGTATGTACATCTTTTCTCTAAACTCCACCAAGTAAATAACCAGCTTGAGTAAAACAAAAGATGTTCCCTTTATAGAAGATGGAGACACTGGCCACCACAAGCCACTAACATCATGCAAAGAGAAACAATTAGACTTTACCTTTGGTAAGGTACCACCTATGAGGTGTCCTCGCAAAACAAAACAAAAAGCCACCAAACCTGAATCTGATCAGGGTTCTAGAACTATCTACTAGTTTACAAGAAATTCAGAAGAAGAATATGTTCAAAACCATTTGAAGAGAGAAGCTAAAAAATTCAGATCATGGAAAACTCAGGATAGAAAACATGGTGTGTGTGCAATCAACAGAATAATAAAGGCAGAACTTATATACATTAAAAGAAACTTTAGCCGGGCGGTGGTGGCGCACGCCTTTAATCCCAGCACTCGGGAGGCAGAGCCAGGCGGATCTCTGTGAGTTCGAGGCCAGCCTGGGCTACCAAGTGAGTTCCAGGAAAAGGCGCAAAGCTACACAGAGAAACCCTGTCTCGAAAAGCCAAAAAAAAAAAAAAAAAAAAAAGGAACTTTAAAGCCAGGCATTGTGGCTCATGCCTATAATCCCAGTACTCAGAAGGAGAGGCAAGTACATCATCACCAGCTGGAAACCAACATGGTCTACATAGTGAGTTGTTAGTTATCCAGGACTGTAAGATGAGTCCCTAACCAAAACAAACAAACAAAAAATAAACAAAATAAAAGAGAAAAGGAAAGAAGAGCCAGCAAGATGGCTCTTCAGGTAAAGGTGCTTGCTGCCAAGCCCAATGACCTGAGTTCAATCCCCTAAACTCACATGTTGGAAAGAGAGAACCAAGTCCTAAAAGTTGTTCTCTAACTTCCACATGCATGAGCAGACATTTACAACAAAACAAAACAAAAACCGAGAACATAACCATTGTGGGGCTATTTGGATATCAATTCATATAATTCTCATCTTTTCAAAAGGCTAAGTGGGATGATTAGTAGAGTATGTTAACATTTGATGATATGAGTTTTCCTCCAGAAACATACAGATAAATATACGCAAAACAAGGCTGTGTATGGGTGTGTAGGTATGGTGGTTCATGACTACAATCCCAGCACACTCAGGTAGAGACAAGGAGCCAGAAAGTCTAGGGTCGGCCTAGGCTACAGAGTGAGACTCTGTCAAAAAAAAAATATGTGTGTGTATATATATATACACACACATATATATACATACACATTACACACACACACACACACACACATACACATACACACATACATACGTATACACACACCAAATAACCTAGAGTGAGGTTCAGAAGTGAATAAGGCATTGATACAGCAATCAACTATGCAATGATGATTATTGAAAATGGGTGATGAATAAGTCCAGCTGTTATCTCTACTCTTGTGTGTGCTTGAAAACATTCAGTTAGGCTTTTGAAAAGAGATGGCTGAAGCTCTCAGGTATCTGAAATGTATCTCCCCTGCCAGGATCCACTTAGTAGGGTTGTAGGTACTGTTAGTCCCTTGAGACATCAAAGTCAGTGTCTGTCTCTCCATCTGTCTTTTCAGGCACAGAACCCAGGTCAAGTACGCTAAGCAAGGGACCTACCACTAACTTATATCACCTCCCCACCACCATCACCAAAGCTTTTCTTATATTCCCACCCTCAGATCTTTTGGGATGTAACTATAGCTACAGTAGGGAAATCTCTACTCTGTATCATATTAACAAATACAGAGTCTCAACTTCATTAAATGGGTCACATATAGTGATCAATCTTTGTTCTCTGATATCTATCTCTCCAGAAGGAAGCATGACTTTACTCTTTCTTTGTCCTCTAACTTTTAGCCAGTATCTTATTCCTGGCAAAATGGCATCCTTGCAATGGTCTACATGGCACTCTGCACGGGGCATGTGGTTCATAAGCAGAAACTAACCCTCCCACTTTCCAGAGGTGGAAAGGTGGAGAGGTGCTCACTGCTCCCTCTAGATGTAGACATGACTGTTAAAAGAGGTCTACCTTAGTCCTCTGCTGCGCATAGAGCTCACACAGGTCTGGACTCAGATCTGCTTTAGCTCTTAGTTCTGTTTTGACCCAGGACTGTCTGTGACCCTCAGGAAGCTATTAAACTTATCTGGGTCTCTTTCTCATCATTTGTAATATGGACACAGAAAGAGTATCTATGTCACAGTATTATTCTAATTACTAAGTCCCATAATGCTGACCAGAGGGATGGTTTCTTAGTAAGTGCTCAATAAACCAGCTAATCTACACATCAACCATGACAGCATACATAATGAATAGATCCATCCTTCATGGCATGCATGATGGACAGACCTATCAAACTGTCCAAGCACCCTCTGACTGAGAAAATGTTGGACTGAGGCAGAATGCTCTGCAATTCATGCTCAGGCTGGCCCTGGCTTTTCCCCAGAGAAGCCAGACTTCTGACCCCATGCCCTCCCATATTGCCACATCTAGCTCCACAAGGTACCTGTGTCCTCCGGGGAGCCATAGGAGGGGCTGCCCTGTGATAAGGTGGCCCAGCTTGAGTCCTCATCACTGGCTGCACTGTTCCGCATGCCAAATAGGAGGCTAGCACTCTTGCTATGATCCCGGGGGCCATCTGTGAGGGCCTGGGGCTCAGAGGGAACTTCCACACTCTCCAGGGGCTCAGGCAGCCCTGGAGGAGAAGACAAGTCCTCCTCATCATCTTCTTCCTCCTCATCTTCATCATCCTCCTCAGCCTCCCCGGCTGCCTTCTCCTCTCCTTCATCTGGTCCCTGCTCTTGGGTGTTGATGATCAAGCCGGGTCCACGAAGCCCTCGGTTGGCTGCATTGTGGGCTGAGAGCTCCAGCTCAGAGTACAGATGCATCAAGCCTTTGGGACCCAAGGGTGCTGTCTCAGCCTCCTGGCTGGCCTCTTCTGCCAAGGTCAAGGTCACATTTCTGTTCTGGTCTCGGTGGGCCGTGGCAGCCCTCCGAAGCTGGTTCTGGCCTTCCTTTAACCACTTGGCATTGGCGGGGCCTGGTTCAGGCACACCACCCTCCCCCATAGCATTTCGAAGGTCCTTGGGTACCACAGCTGTGGCTTGCAGCTTGGCGTTGAGCAGCTGGTTATGGGCAGCGTGCAGGGGCAGGGGGAGGCTGAGTGCAGGGCCTCCGTGGCTGTTAGCGTTAATAGCCGATTGGCTCAGGGATGATGGAACAGACATGGCCTTGGTAGATCCTGTGAGACAGGGAGGAGAGACCATATTGAATGTTCCTGCTTCTGACCCAGTCTTAGGTCCTGTCCCTCATCTTCTTGTACTGTGTAGGCCAGCACACACCAATCCATGACCCATGAGCTACATTCCCATCAGACACCTGTCCCTACAGCCCCACCCCCATCACAAGCCAGGCCCAACTCTGTGATCTATCCCTTTCCCTGGTGTTCTGGGGCAGCACAGTAGTGTCTGCTTTCTCTTCACTACCAAAAGCAGAGAGTCTGCACAATGGCTCTCTGTGCATCCCCAAGCCCCACTTGACCAACTGGGGCTCACTGTGCCAGGGACACAGCCAGCAGGACAGGCTCATGTGTTTTAGATGCTAGACACTGATTATCCCTTCCCTCCTGCCACAGTGCTATCTGGAGCCCCATCACTGCCAGCCCCCTAAGCCTTCAATATAAATCACTAATACCAGGCATTCCTAAGCCCACTCTACAATAAGGATTGGTTAGACATGAATGTTGGGTGTGGAGAGATGGCAGACATTGTCCAGGAAAGCAAGCCATAGAGGAAGGGCCTTCAGCTCTAGTTCTTGGCTATATAGAGCCAAGTATAGACAATGTCTGTCTATGAAATAACTCACCTAGGGTACCAGTCTCCCCTGTCAGCCCTTATAATGCCACGGTCCCCTCAGAAGCCTCTGATCTGGAGCCTCTAGCCTTTCAGGTTTTTGTCTAGGGATCACTTTATCAGGGAGACCTTCCCTACACATCTATTTTAAAATTTCAGGCTACCTCTCTTCAACTCAGTAACCTCATAGTCTTCCCAGGCATGGACCACCATCTACCAGACTAATTTATCATTTGCATTTGTTTACTTATGCCCTTGTGGCTAAGTTCCATGTTGGTGAAGATTCTGCATTATTATTGTTGTTGTTACTATTATTTACAATACAGCATTCCCAGCCTCTAGCAACGTCCTGGCACAGAGCAAGAAGTAGGAACCCAGTAAGTAGCATTCACTGAGTAAGTGTCTAGGCTGCCCTCACATCTGGACGCCATTTTAGCCTCTCCTCAGAAAACATTTCATTTCATGCTCTGGATCCGTCTGTCTCAGCAGTGGCTTGTGGCACCTCAAGCACACTCTTCTGAGTCTGCATGTGAAAGGGGACCTCTTGGTTCAGTGTCAGCCCCTTCTCAGGTGTCTTCCGCACAAGTCCCAACCAGATTCTAAGTATGAGCTTTCTTCTGAGCGTCTCTGGACCACCACCCAAGGCCCAATCAACCCTTCTCACTGTCTCTGGCCTGTTTTGGCTCTTCTTCTCTGACCCCTGCTCTCCTTGGAATCTCCCAACACCAGTTCCTTCTCCTTGACCATCCACTCCCCAACTCCCCCACTCTCAGTTCTCACTGCAACCCCTCCCTTGGCCAAGCCCACTGTCACCCCCTCCAACAGCTTCCCTCAAAGCTCTCTCTTCCTACTGGACCCTTCCTCAGTGCACAAGACCCCTACTGCGCAGCCCTTCTCCTTAACCTGCCCCCATCTCCTTATTCTCTAGCCAAGGTGTCTGACCCTGGCCCTCCGTTGCCTCGGTCCTCCCTGCTGCCCATATTGAGTGCAGGTGTTACAGCGTGCCTGAGCAAGGCTCCCCCATCTCTTCAGCCTTGGCCCAGGATCCTGAGATGGGGAGCCACAGTCTTCCTTTCTACCATTTCTAGCTCCTGAGAGTCTAGCACAATGCTGGGAACATATGTATAAAATAAATGAAAACAAGGTTTCTGCCCATGGGTCTGCCTCACCTCCATGTTTAACTAACTGCCGGTCTGATCAGTGCGGCTCCACCTGGGCTGTGAGGAAACGCATGGTTGCTGGAATAAATGAAGAGGAAAAAATAGGCAGTTCTGTCTCCACCCAGAACCACAGTAATTTTCCAAAAATGGAAACCAGATTGTGTCACTCCCTGGTTGACAAAATTAAAGGGCTCACCACTGACTTTAGGATAAGGTCTCAGCTCAGTTTACAGGATACCTGAGAGGCCACTGCAGCCAACCCCTAGCACCTCTCAGGCTCCCCCACCCCACCCCCCACTTCACACCTTATACTCAGCCATGTGAAGTTTGGCAGGTTCTGGAACACATCACACAAAACCCCAAGTCTTTGTTTACACTGCTCCCTCGGTCTGGAATCCTCCCCTCTTCTAAGAACCTCTTCTTGTATTTCAAACCTTTGCTCAGCTGTCAGGACTCCTAAGCAATCTTCCCTGAACTTTCCTCACCTAAAAAAGATCATCCCCTTTCTGTGCTTCACAACACCAGTGTCACATGCTATCAGAATATATGAAACTCGGTCTTACTTCGTATTACAGCACCATCACTAAGGATAATATGTTGTGTGTTTACCAGAGTAACCATTGTGTGGGAGGGGAGGAGGGTGAATGGGACAGACATTGGGGAACTAGGAACCTGGAAGCGTGGAACTGGCTGAGAACAGAAAGTTTGTACAGCCACCTTAGGCTAGGGTAGGCAAAGGCGACCCGAGGGAAGATGCTGGAGAATGATGAAGAGCCCTGACAGGGAGGACGGGACAGGAGTCCTGGTCAGGGGAGGCTCAGGTCTATGGAAGGGGGAGAAAGCACTTAAACCAATGCCCTGTCTTAACAACTATTCAGTGGCAGCATCTCGCTGAGACCCCGTGCCTCTGGACAGCTCACGGGACTTCAGGAATGACGAGTTCTTCTTTGCAGCAATGGTGGACAGAGCCATGTTTCTAGGTCAAGCTGGGGCTGACTTTTGTAACACTGGGGAGTGTACCTGGAGAGAACACATGTTTCGTGACACTGGGTCAGGGAGGAGCCTGGTTGACCATCAGGGCACCAGGGCAGAAAGCAGTTGAAGTAAGATGGGGAAAGTCTGCTGTAAGTACTGTCTAGCCTGAGGCAATGTGGCCACCACCTTCTTACTTTATGAGAACAAAAAGATAACCAGCTATCTAGTTTCTTCAAGAAAAGGCATGATCCAACTCCTTTCTCACTGGGGTTATCCATACTTGGGGCATCTCAAAGGATAAAAAAGGGGCCAGCATGGCTCATTAGGGAAGGTAGCTTGCCAAAAAGCCAGAAGACCTGAGTTTGATCCTCAGGACCCACATGGTAGGAGAAAATCAACTCCATAAACTGTCCTCTAACCTTCATACGTTCATTGTGATGCATGCACACCTATACCCACCCCACCCCCCAACACACACATAACTGTATGAGTTCTGGCTCAAGGCATGAGGCTAAGCAGAGCCTTGAGATGGAGACTAAAAGGAGGGGTCATAAAGCTGACATCATACCATAGGTGAGTGAGCTGAGTCCTGTCCAAAGCCAGGGGTCTTCCAACTTGATATTCTAGAGATGCCAGGCATTGAGCTAGGCATGGGTGAGGGCATTAACAATAGAAAATGGTTCCTCCCCTGGAGGAAGTCAAACTCTAGGGAGTCACAACACAACTCCTTACTGTAGTGGACACAAACCTCTAGAATGATTCCTGGCACCTACATACACTTTCTTCTTTTTTATATTATATTTATTTGTGTATTTTGTGTGTGGGCACACCTTCACCACAGCACATGTGCAGAGGTCTAAGGACAACTCTCAGGAGTCTGTTTTATCCCTCCACCATGTGAGGCCTGAAGATTGAACTCAGGCCAGCAGGTTTGGTGGCAAGCGCCTTTCATCTGCTGAGGCCATCTCACTGGCCCACAAATAAGCATTTTTTATTGGTGGAACAAGTAACTGGTACGGTGATGGAGAAAGAACAGGATACCACCAGAGTCTGGTGCTATTGCATCTCTAAGAATAAAGCCTGCCTGAGCATCAGTCAGAATTCTCTTGGACCATCCATTGGCTCTCCCGTTCTCTCAACCTCCTCTCCGAAGTCACAGAAGAAAGGGAACATCCTCAAACATCCAAACTGGATGAATCTGTTCTCCTTTCTCTTTTTGTCTAAAACCAAGTGCTGAGCCTACTACTTAGATCCTCTCAACATAAGAATTTCCAAGAAGTATTTCTTGGCCTGACCTTCCCCTAAGCGCCTCAGTGCCCTCTTTTCTCCCCACATTCACTATTGCCATTTCCCCTCTTCCCTGTTGGCTTTTCTAACCCTGCTTCCCCCCTCAGCAAGACTTGGTAACAACACCTACTAAGGTCAGCACAGCCCCATGGCATTTCGCCCAGTGGATGCCTAGTCACCATGTGTACTCTCAGCAGAATTTGACCCCATGAGCCCCTCACCTAGTGCTCATTCATAGCTCCCATGCTCTACATTCCTGGATTTCTTTCCACCCACCTGGCTACTGTTTCTTGGCCTGTTAGACTTTCTTGCTGGCTCAACTTCCTCTCAGTCATTACAGGCTGAGTTTCTCACAGCTTTTATTATGTCCCTTTCTCTTCCTTGTCCTATATTCAATAGAAGTATTCATTCATGTCCACAGATTCAGTTACCATCTATACAATGAGGATTTCCAAATTTCAAGCTCCCTCATCTGAACTCCAGACATGTACATTCAACTCTCTACCCAACAACTCCATCTACCTATCCCAAAGGCCTCTCAAACATGATACATCCATTCATGGTTCTCATTCCTATCCTCCTATCTCTTTCTCTTTCAGGGGCCATGGGATGGAATGACCGCCTATTCTATTGTCCAGTGTTGTACAATTCTAAATACATGTTTCACTCTTGCTGCTTAAAGTAAATTCATTCCCAGACAATAATCACATTCTGAGAAAAAATTCTGGATGTATCTATTCTATACCTCCACTATCATTCATAATCTGCACCAAAGCCAATGACCTTATGGTCAAAATCCTAAGCATTGTCTAAATTGTCCTGTTAGCTTGCCCATGGCCTTCCTCCTCTCTGGCCCCAACTCTTATCATTGACCTCCCCAACCTAAGCAGCTTTCTTTGACTCCTGGAAGGCATTGTGATTATGGTCTTTGTTCTACATGATACCCCTTCAACCCATTTCCAGAACTTCATTATCCCAACCCTCCCTTTACATCCTAGTTGAAACTACACTTTCCTCAGAGAACTCTTCCCTTGACCCCTCCTCTCTTATCCCCTCACCCAGTCTAGCTTCTGTTCTGCAGGCCTGTCAAAGCACCATGCATCTCCCTTCATGATGTCTATTCCCTTTACAATGTCCTTCTTATTTGACTTCCTTCATAGACCATCCATTCTCTATGGACAAGAACCCAGTCTATTTTGTTCCTTGATTACATCTTTAGTGCCTAATGCAGTGCCTTGTAAAAATCAGGTGCTCAAGTCCTATTTGTTGAATGAATATATGATCAGATGCATTTTTAAAATGACCATTATAAATGCTATGCTGATAATAGCTAAGAGGGGGAAGGCAACTGGGTGCTATTAGAGCAGTGGGGAGTCTAGATTAAGTTTGACAACAACTGGAATCAAGGGAGATTAACAGACCTGAGAATTATTGAAGTAGTGGGTAAGACAGAACTTGCTGAAATTAGATGTCCAGGAGTGAGGGAGAATGTTGCTCAGAATCCCACCCAGTGTGAGCGTAACCTGAACTGAATAGACAGCTGCCATTCTGGGGGGTTAAAGGAACAGTAGATATGGAAATGAGGTACAAGGTGAGGAAGAGACATTAATTAATTCACCTTGGAATCTATAGGCTTGGAATCCTTATTGGATATTCAAAGGGGTGCCAGGGGACAGTTGGGTATATATGAGTGTGAATTTCATCAGAGTGGTCTGGCCCAGACAAATTTGCGACTTGGCAGAGTATGTGTTAAATTTAAAGAGTTGGAAATAGAGGAAATGGTAGGGGAGAAAGGACAGAGTGAAAGAACGCAGCTCAAGCCAGAACCCAGGGCCACATATGCAGAGGAGAGGAAGAGAACACAGGAGACTGAGAAGCAGCAGACAGTGCCTAAGAGAGAAACCTGGAAAACGCTTCAAGGAGACTGAACTGACACAAACCGGCTGAACACTACTCCAAGGGAACAGGCTCACAGCAATGTATCCATTCGAGTTACGGGGAGGGCTCCGGTGACCTTGCCTGGAAGCTCCGGTGGATGTCAGAGACAGAATGGCGTGGATTTTAAAATGAATGGTAAGTTGGGGGTTCAGAATGCAATAGACAAACAGGGCTCAGAAGAGGCTGAGAATAACCTCTGAAATGGAGAGGGGAAACTGCTCCTAAGAGCACTCTTGTCACTGCTAGGCCTCTCTCGGGCTGAGATGAGAACCCCGCCGGCCCCAGGGCACACCCCTCGGTCGCTGAGGACAACAGAATGCAGCTTGACAGATCCCAGGCCTAGGACTCCAGGCTGGAATCGCGCGGCCTGGCTCCTACCCTGCTCCAAGTCCCCTTCCTAGCACTAGACCTCCCCTCCCCCACTCTTCCACCGCCCCTCGCTTTGCCCCCCCCCCATCTTGGTCCCCCCATTTCAAGGCATCCTGGAGGATCAAGAAGCAAAGCTAAGCGGAGGGGGTCGGTGAGTACAAAAGTAAAGCCTGCGGAGGGTGGTCGGCAGGCCCACGGTAGGAAGGCGGCGCTGATATGGGGTAGGGGGATCAGGCCTGACCCGGGGACCTGGACCCCTGCGAGGAAGGCGCTGCAAAGGCTACAGGCTGCTGAGGCTGGGGACCCGGCTCCCGGGGCTGGGCGGGGGCAGGGGCAGCTCCTACCTGTGCGGCGAGGCCCCAGGCCCAGGTGGCGGAGGTGGCTCAGGCTGCAGGGCTCCCGCTCCGCCGCAGCTTCTCCATCACAACATCCCCCGCCCAGGAGCGCGCAGACCGCGGGGCCGCGCCCCGAGCGGCGGAGTCGCGCACGGGAGGGGGAGGGGCGCCATCTTGGCCCGGGCGGGGCGCGCGAGCCTCGGCGAGCCGCACTAGCTGCAGCTGCCCCAGCCGCACCCTGCAGACCCTTGGCTCTCCGCGAGCCCCGCGGCCCATGCTTCCAGCCTAGCCCCCCTGGCCTGCACCTGGCTCCAGGACCGCTGCCCAGTTCTTCCCTTCCATGCCACTGACTCACCCTTCGCGTCCGCGGGGCCCTGGTCCTGCACAAACGCCGGGAGACGCGCCTAGAGCTCCGAGCCTGATCCCCGCTGGGGCGGTGCTGAGACCGCAGCCGCGCCTCGAGAGGCTGGCAGCCGGCTGCTCTCTGGCTCTTGTGGCAGCATTCCCTGACGTCCTGGGGATAATAATAGCGCGTATTTATTGACCGCCTACTCTGTGCCAGGCTCTATGTTCAACCGTTTGCATGCATTCATCCTCGGATAAATCCCCACAATTGTTATTCTCGGATTTGAAAGGCAGGTGCTGACATTCTGAAGGGTAACGCGACTTGCCGGCAGACACAGAATAAGTGGTTAAACTAGACTGTAACTGAGGTATTTAACACTCTACTTGTGTCCCTGAACATAAAGCTGTGACACAGCCCCCTACCCCGGCTCCCGTGTAGAAATTCACTAGAGGAAAGCGGAGAATGAGAGTGAAAAACATAAGGAAGAGCTGCGGGGTGCTTGCTATATTCCTGTTCACTGCAGTCCCTGCGTGGGCAATGAGGTAGGTCTTAGCAGTCAGGTTGCTGACCTAGATCCCATCAAGAATAAAAAGGGGCAGAACCCCTAAAAGCATGGTCCCCTGCGCTTTAATCTGTGGACTCGGAACATACTGAACAACTGATTGGAGGTGCATCTAAAGTCCAGCGATGCCCAAATTTAAATTCATTATTTCATTTGTGTTCGTCTTCTAAGGCATTTCCCAGAAATGGAAAAGTACACACACACACACTCACATTCATAAGATCTGGATGAATGATCTTTATCATCGCCTGGCTTGTTCAAAGCAACTACTCTAAAGTTGTCTTTGAATATACTCTCACTTATTTTGTGGTAAATATAAATATTTTAACTTTTTGTTATGGACATTTTCACACATGTGCAAAAATAGAGCAGTGTAACAAAACTTCCTATGCCCATCATTCAAGAGTTCATTTTAATCTGACAAGCATCTATGATATACAAACCATGTTGGTTCCCAAGCAGGACAAAAGGATCCCAAAATGAATCTGGTTTAGCTGTATCCCACCTGGAAGAATTGGCACCTGACCCGAATCCTTGAAAAATGAGCAAAGCTTACATGGAAGGATAAGGTATCCTCATTCATTCATTCATTCATTCACTCTCAACTAACAATATTAATGTATGAGGCACTGTCCTTGGTGCTAAGAACACCCAAAGGAACAAGGTAAGAGTTCCTGCTTTCATACAGCTTAAAAGATAACAGAGAGGAGAGACACCAAGTAGTTAGAAGCATGGGGCCTTAAAGAAAATGCACAGGGCACTGTGTGGGTAGCGTTAGTCTGGCCTGGGACACTTGGAAGGCTCACACTGGAAGTAGAACTTAAGTGAGAGAACAGGATGAAGGAAGTAGAAGTTAGGCAGAAGAAGAGAAAAGCAGCAGGAGTACAGAAAGAGTATGGGTGCTGCTGAAGATCTCCACCTAAACTCAGCTTGAGTCAAGAGGACTATAAGTTCAAAGCCAGCCTGAGTTATATATAGTAAGGTCCTGTCTCAACCCCTCCCATCCACCCATGACCCAAGAAGTCTTGAGGGTCCTGCTTTTATGGATGAGTTTATCCATTCATGAGTTAATGGAGTTAAGGGTTGTGTGGAGAACAGGTCTGATATAAAAGCCAGTTTGGCTGGCTCTCTCTCTCTCTCTGGTTTTTTCAAGACAGAGTTTCCCTGTGTAGTCCTGTCTGTCCTGAAACTCACTCTGTAGACCAGGCTGGCCTAGAATTCAGAGATTCTCATGCCTCTGCCTCCTGAGTGCTATGATTAAAGGCATGCACCACCACAGCCCAACCGGGCTGTGTCTCTTTTATGCACTCCCCTCTCCTTACCATAGGATGCCCTGTGCCATCTTGGAACCCTACAGAGTCCTAACAGCCAGTTGAACCTCACCAAATGTTCACCTTGATCTTGGACATCTAAGACTCCAGAAATACAAAATGAAGAAATCCTTATCATCTGTAAATTACCCAGTCCGTGGTATTTAGTTATATCTACAGAAGACAGACTAAGGCAAGTGTCAAAAGAAATGGAACAGTGCCAAATCAAGTTGGGTCTTGAATGGTCAGTTGAGGGTTTGCAACTTTACTTAAGGGCAGTAGAAAGTCATCAGAGCTTAACGTGAGAGAATGGCAGATGTGATCATCTGGATGTTGAAGGAGAATAGACAGAAGGCCAATGTTGGAAGGGTGGAGATCAATTAGGAAGCAGTTAAGGTGGCCTAGGTGGGAGATGATGGCTAAGGACCATACCAGTAGAAGGAGTAGAGATGACGAAAACTGCAAAGGTTTAATAAATTCAGGAGGTAGAATTCACAGAAATTAGTGATCAATTAATTAGTTAGGCATAGAATTGGGGAAGTGACTTCTAGATTTTTGCTTTGACCAATGGAAAAAATCAGAAATACCACTCACCTAAAATGGCCCACCAAAAAATCCCCTCTCCAAGTCTTACTGAACAGGAAGCTGAGGTATTCAGGGAAATATTTCCAGATAATCCCAGAGACAAGGACAGTCTGATGAGAGCAAGGAGTATACATTAGTTACTTTTCTGTTGCTGTGATCAAACACCATGACCAAGGCAACTTGGTTTATTTGGGGCTTATTTAGGGCTTACAGTTCCAGAAGGGCAGAAGTCCATCACCATTATAGTAGGGAGCATGGCAGCAGGTGGGCAAGGCATGGTGCTGCCCAGTAGCTGAGAGCTTACATCGTGATCAACAAGGCAGAGAACTCACAGGAATGGCCCCAGTGACTCACCTCCTCCAATAAAGCCACATCTCCTAATCCTGCCCGAGCAGTTCCAAGATAGAGACCAAGTCTTCAATCTAATGACCTATGTGGACCATTCTCATTCTAACCTCCACAGTCTAATTAGCTAGAGTACAAGGGAGAAAAAAGATGTGTCCTCCATACAGGCAGTGTTCTGGTATGTTTGATCGACACACAGTCTTCCTGAATTCCTTATACTGTAGGCCGCAGGAATATATCATAAGAACTCAGCCGGTTATGGCAAAGTCACTACCTGGAGGAATCAGGGAATTCCTCCAGAAGAAGCCAAATCCCAAGGAGTTTTTGGTGTTACTTGGCTTGTTATATATCAGCTATATTCTGTTATGAAAATCATGTGTGCCTTCATAGTTTTCTCAATTGACTTTTCCCTAAGAAGGACTAACAGTGTGGACTGATCACCCTCTGGACATACACATTCCAGGTATTTGGAGAACAGCCTCAGGAAAGGTTTTCTCTGGAATCAGATTATCTCCCTTAGCCACTTTCAAGGACTACAGGAAACACCACCCAGGTGGGCGCCCACCTTCCGAGGACTAACAGTGATAACAGCCCACCTGCAAGTCTCCTGACTTAAATTCCACAAGGAGACACCGCCCAGGTGGGCCCCAACTTCCGAGGACTAACAATGATAACAGCCCACATGCAAGTCTCCTGACTTACGGTAAATTCCACAAGGAGACACCACCTAGGAGAGGTGGACGTTAAGTAATAGCTTTACACAATTTAGCTCGGACCCTCCCTTTATATACCGGGACTTCCAGGGCACAGGGCAGAGAAGAGAAAAGAGAATGGAAGAACTAGATGGGTAAGAACTTGAGAGGAACAAACTGAGATAGGGAAGAACTAGATTGAAGGGCTAGAAGACAGTACTAGAGGAACGAGATGGAAGCTGAGGAAGAGCCAGATGGGGAAGAACAAGATGAGGAAGAGCCAGATGAGAGAGAAAGAGATGGGAGAGGAGCTGACAGGGGAAAGAACTCAGGGCGGAAGATGAGAGAGAAACAGATGGGCGAGGAGCTGATAGGGGAAAGAACTAGATAGATGAGAACCTAGAAGGGACAGAACTAGATGAAGGAATTAAGATAGAACCTAGAGGGGACAGTAGATAAATATAGAGAGAAATCAGTCAAGAAAGGAGCTAGACATGAGAGCAGAATAGAAGCTGTGCAGAGAGAGAACTATCACAGAATAATAAAGTGTATGAACTAAGGAGTTTCATGTACATAGATTCATTTCTTTTTATCAAAGATTAATTATCAGCTGGTTGTAGATTCTTCCCAGACCCTGGGAGGGGACTATGGAGGGGCTGGACCCCCCTAGTCCCCAATATCCTTACCTTCTCCTAGGTTTATAAAACGTTTTGACCTACACAGAATCACTACGTGCCCTGCACTCTTGCTTTCTCTGCTTTTTTTCTCCTCTTTTTGTGTTCTCTGTGCCATAAAATCAGTCCTTACTCTATGAAATACCGTGAATACTGTGTGGTTCTGACCAATGTGAGTCCCTATGAAGTAGCAATCTGTTGTTATTACAATGGAAACACAAAGAAAGATTGATTGTAAGCATATCTATCCAGAGTCACTTTCTCTGCAGCCCAGATTGGCCTGGAACTCACTATGTAGCTAA